TAAACAGGAGGAAGTTTATTACCTTGGAGAGCGCATATAAAGTTTGGATGTCGAAAAACAAATAAACGCGTTCGCAACTTCCGGTGTGCTTTTTATCGTATCTCTTTTTTTCTGTTTTCATGGATTAGGTTAGGGGCAAAACAGGAATAAAAGAAAAGCGCCAGTTAAAACTGGCACTCAAGAGTACCTGCGTAGGATAATTATAGTAGTTACCTAACAATAGCACATTCGTGTAAACGACGGCTTCATACAAAAAGATGAATTATCAAGATCACCCACATCAAGGTCCCACAACCACCCTTCATCTCCCTAGCATCATGCTTCCTTCTTAACGTAGTGAAGCCACGCAGTCGTCGTAAATGCGGTTGATACCAAAACAACGCTATCTCAACAGCCCCCCCCCCCCCCCCCCCCCTCAGCTCTCTCCACGCATCTGTCGAGACAAACGTTCCTTTATCGCCCCCCACCGTCTCTCTCTTGCTCGTCCTGACCAATCGACAAAAACACTGACACACTGCTCTCTGAAAAAACGCAATCTACCTCGCGATAACAAAGAAAGAAAGCGGGGAAAACAGAAAAAACGCCGCGAGGGCGCTGATAAGCCCGGCAAAAACAAGGGAAGCGGAAACGATACTGGCGACACCGGGAAATCCGCCGGTCGCTACGCAAAAGATTCGTTGTCGCAACCGCGTCTAACTATTTCTCCTATTAGAATTGTTTGCATGTTTTAGAGAAGTTAGTCAGCCTCAGCAGTAGTCTGGTGTCTTCGACATTTAAGGGAACAGGGTAGGGCAAAATTTTGAAAAAAATTGAGTTTTTGTTTTTTAGGGATTTGGATTTCCCAGTCTTTCCTGAACAATGCTGACTGTGTAATTTGAGCGTGCGCGATTTATCTACAGGAAAAATGACCTTTTCCGAAACCTAGGTGGTGACCGACCACGCCCCCTTTTACACCTATGCACGATCTGTATCTCTCCTATGTTGTAAAAAAACCATAAAAAAAAACGCAGATTTTCACTAGGTTTAGCGGAATGTTTATTGCTCGTCCAGCAACAGCAAAAAGCTGTCTAGCTTTCAATTTTTAGCCCCATAAATCCTCAGACACTGCCGGTGTCAGTCGCGACGCGCATACTTTTGCTTCTGCTTCGGCATGCTTCCACGGGCAAGGTAATTTATTGTTTACTTTAACACTAGGTTTGGAATGTTAAAAATGACGAAGACGAAGAAGATATTTTAAAAGCATCGCTTCCAGAGTAGTCGGCATAGGTCAATTTCTTATGCCGCCGAGTCCCCGCAACGCATTCTGATGCCTGACGCGGCGGCTACCACGTGTGCGTCTTCTTCGAAGCTGTCGCACTCGGCAGCACGCTTTGAAGAGCTCAAGGCAAGTGTTAGTGACTGCAACTCTGCACTGATTGGCAACGACCTTCTGTCCTGTACCGTCGCCGAAGCTGGGTGTGCAAAGTGTGTGGTGGGGACTTGCAGCTGGTTAAAAAGCAGCACTAAGAGCTGGCGTCGCCTGCACCTACTTTCTGAACTGTGAAAAGTGCTGGTGGACACACTGATTAGAGAGACGTCAAAACGGACAACTTCGAGCCTCTACTTGGCGTTTTACCAGGATGATTCATGGTGCAGTGGTTGTGGGACGTTGACCGGCGACGACTTTACTTGGCAGACAGGGCTACACAGCTCGTCAAAAAAGAGGCCCAAAAAGCAAGACAGCAAACAAAGAAACTAAATATTGACTATGGAGGTGACAACCTGGCTGGTGGCTACCGAACGGATACATCAGCATGCATTTCTAGAGTGCAAGTTTATTATAAAGTGCCTTTTTTCACTTCAAAGTCGATTATCTCAAAACATCATTTTTTTGCGACGTTTGACCCTTTTTCTCCGAAACCATTAAAACCAGAAGTATCATTTTTTCCCACTAACAAGACAACACAAGGGGGAGTCTACTGAACTAGAATTATGGAAATTAATCAAGGCAATTTTGTTTGACAAGCTGTTTATTCTCTATTTTGGCATTAAAATTAGAAGGGTCCAGTAAAAACAAAAGCAAAAAAGAACTAAAATATATATAACAATAAATCTAGTTCAGTAAAGAGAACACAGAAAGCTAAATACAATGATACCAACATGAATCCTCTAACCCTAGCAGATCCTGAGAAAAAGGGTCACATACATAGGCTGAAACACATGGGAAGAATAGGGCCTACCCTGTTCCCTTAACCAGCAGCGCAGTGTACCACTGCTGACCTGGGGTCTCTCTTGGACGTATTGCATCACGTAGTAGCGAAAAGGGGACGGGTATAAAGTAACCGTGTTCCGTAATTGTTTTGATAGCGGGAGTTTCGACAGGCCGAATGGGCTCCCCTCCTGCTGTCCTCGCTGTAGACCAGAAACTTAGTAGAGTACCACTGCTAGCCTTTGGTCTTTAGCGTGCACCGCGCAGTGGTTGATACATGATCGCAAGCCGGTACGATGCTCATACGAGTCGAAAAACTAGGGAGGGCTGGGGATTATTTTACACGTTTTCCCACCTCGAATCGCACAAATGCAACCGCCAATGTGAATCAACACGCTTGTACTAAATCCGCATTTAAAAGAATAAAAAGAAATGTTTTGATACAACGAACCGTTTATATATATATATAATAAAGTAATGTTTTTTCGATAAAGTTAAAGAAAGCCAAAAACGGGTTGTTAATTATTTCGCAACACGCCGCCAAACAAAAAACAACTATAAAATAAAAAAGACGCGAAAAAGCAGGGTTTTAAAAGGTATAAGCAAAAAGAAAAGAAAAGGAGCTTCCTCCGACAGAAAACGGCTGGTCAAACAGCTAGAGTCATTCTCGTGACACAGAGAGCGATACAAATTGACCTACCCGTAGATGCAATCTGTAAGGATATTCCTGAAATCACACCGAACTCGAGAAAGCTAACACAACAAATACTAAGAGCAAAAAAAAAAAAAAAATTCGTTTGCGAAAGACACGCGATCAACTGATCAAAACGTAGCGGCAAGGTAAGGAGATATACACGAAATCCCCTACAGAACTCATCGCGCTAAGAGCCAAATACGAGGAAAAAGATCGAGCTCGCGAACGGTATTCTAAACATAAACAATTCTTGGAACGATGTTGGAAAACTCCGATGTTGCGCACAAAATGCAAATTACAAAGAACAGATAAAAAGAAGAAAAAAAAAGGGGGGGGGGGGGAGGATTTATTTTGTGTGGAGCCGGCGCCCGAGATCAAAAAGAAACAAAGATTGAGGGTCGAAAATGCAAACGTCCCGACTCTTGGATAATCACCAAGTCGAAAAGAGCGCAGAGTCCAACAATATCGAGTCCAGATCATTAGAGTGTGCTTCATTGAGTACGATCAAAAGTACCGATAAATCGTACAGGCTCCCGGAAACCTTCCCGAGTCCGAACAAACATAACACGAGCCAAAGAAAGTTGTCCAACCGGGTAAGTTCCCAAGGGGATGGTATACTCATCGAGCCGTTCGGGAAAATGTGGCTTCTATTTGAACATGATCCCAAAACAAAATAAGTAGGTTGGATGTTTTTACCATGGTCGAAGACGATGATGTCTGCTTCCGAGGAATAGTTCCTCCAAGTCCAAGCCTTTAAATCCAAAGAGAGAGGGTCCACACGAGAAGACTTCAAGCGGTCCCAAGTTCCAAAATTCCCGAGATCCTCCGAAGACAGAGACCAAAACGTCCAATTCAAGTGGAGCGCAAGCCTTGATCGCTACGAGCGGTTGGAACAGGTTTGCTAAGGTTGCAAGGCTAAAGTATTCCCAGCTGAAGTGTCCCAGACGCACAGAGCCCGAACCCCAAGCACACCCGAACAAGCGAGCCGACACCGGCCAGAACCCCGAGCGCACTGACGCTCAGACAAGCGCTACGCCTTCATTTGTACCTCGCAAGCTTCCGGTCTACAGACGAACAAGACCGAACACGCCGACGCCAGTGAAAACAAAAGCACAAAAACACACACCTAGAAACACAGACTGACTTCCAGCGGTGGTTGTCGCTTGGTGCCGATCAACCGTTACCGGATTAGAACCTTAAAAACGAAAAGGTGGCGGAGTTTGAATTCCGAGATGCAGCGGGAGGCAGCAGGTTCAAATCGGGCTTGTTGCAATGCATCAACACATGTCGCATTTGGCTTTCGAGGTATGCGTACCATTGAAATCGATGCAGAAAGGCTTTGTTGTCGTTTCTGTGCTACTAAATTGGATATAAAACGGAAATTGCAAAAAGTTCGCGGAGCGAAAGGGGAAGTCGGAAGAGTTCCGAGATCGGAAGTCGCTTTCTCCATTGCGGTAGGGCGAAAAATAAAAATAAAGACGGCCCAAACATTTAAGTTGATGCAATCGTGACGAACACTTGCCGATAAGAAAAAGAGTCAACTCGGCCGGAAGCCTGTGCAAAAGTTGGCGAACCGGTCGCACGAAGCCGAGAACGTCGAAGAAACCCCCAAGTTTTCGTCAACGTCACCGATCAACACAAAGGAAGCACCGTCGCGATGTCGCTCTGAGGCACCAGAAATAGATTTCCGCCGGCTTTTTGTCACCGACCCCGGGCTCCGAGCACACGCCGACGTTCCCGCGACTTGCAATAAATTCGGAGAAACGATCTGGATCCGAGAAGACCCTAAATTTCGGTTTTGGAGTCGCCGACACACAACACAACAAATGGAGACGGAGCCCCAGCGATCGAAGACGCCCAGCGAAGCGGAGGCCTAGCGCACGACTTCGATCTCGATCTCGAAAGGACGTTGAATCTTTCCCGAACATTGTGCAAAGCGACACGACGCCCCAGCGAAATCATCGACTCGGATTTAAGCCGGCGAGCGAACGTACCTGTCAGCCATGATAGCCACCTTTACTCGGTCGGTTAGGCCTACCGACGATGCCGGCTCTCCGCAAAAAGCCGGCTGCTCGCCGGTGCGTTCTAAGGCGCCCCACCGAACAACATCGAACTTACCTTCGTGTGAAATGCACTGCTGCCATTCAGTTCCGGTGTCCGAAGTTTATGCGTCAGATAACTGAGCATTTCAAGCCGGCGTGTTCGATTTAGAAGCGCCGAAAGGGGGGGGGAACACTAAGCCGTGTCGCTTTTGCCGCGGCGACTATGACAGCAGACGACGCACGGGACGACCTGGTTGATTCGATATTTTTTTTTTGCACGGGCGCGCACCACACAGGTTTCACAATGGCTTGCAATTCCAAAGCAGGGAAGGCCGAGACGAACGCACACACACACAAAAAAAAAGATCCAAGATCCGGCGCTGGTTGACTGGTTGGGGCCGTTCAGACAAAGGAACCTCGACCGCTTACGATAGCGCGCCTACGAGAACTCCATGCTCGGCTCATCTCCAGCCCGGTACTCCACTGCTTCTGCGCCCTTCGTTCCAATATCAGCTGAAGCCGAGAGGAGCGACCCCATTTCGGACAGCGGGGAAAGTCGGGTGTCCAACGCCGGGAAAACTGGCCCTGATTCGGCGTTGAGTACGCCTTATCTCGTCAATAGAACTACCGGCTTCACTTTCATATCACATAAATACGTCGATGCGAGAAAAATTACCGCGAATAAAAGCTTCGAAGTGTCTATTAAAAGTTCAATACCCAGTCCAGAATGCAGACGGCCGCCCCTCCAAAATAGTAAGTGGTTCGCTCCTCCGGCTCCTGATTGGCGGAGCGTCGCTGACGTCACGGACCGTTCTCCACGACCGCCGCGCGGCACGCGCGGCTCATCGCGGGAGTTTTGTCAGTCGGTGAGAAGACGTCGGGCTGTGCGCGTTGGATGGTCCCGTCGGCTACGGAGAACATTGACTGCTCTGTTTTCGATTGCTTTCAGTTCGGTTTTTTTGTTTGTTTGTTTGTTTTTTGCTTCAGCAGCGCGTTAGTAGTGCCGTTGTTTCCCTTGTTCGTATCAATCTTTCGCACGCGTTGCTGGATGGCGATTCGGCGTTTTTGCTCGGAACCCGCACTTTTTTCAGGGATAAACTGGATTTATGCATTTTTGTATCGTTAATATGGATAACACACATTTTGGACTATTTTCTTGACGAACGGAGCTGCCCATAGTAATGGAGCGTGGCTGAACATGCATACAAGTTTTAATTTTAGGCGTCGGTTTGTGTATAAAACCGGACGTAAACTTTCTTTTTTCATTTTTTTTTTTTTTTTTTTTTTTTTTTTTCAAGTCGGTAATTTTGACAAGACGCGACGGATCCTGCGAATGACATATTATGCTCATGGAGATTTCTGAGGGATACAAGCTTCACTGTGAGCTAATCATACAATAATGTATGATTGTTTTGATTATTGTTTGATTATTAATTACGGCGTAAATTTCCCCAAGTTATTTATTTAAAAAAAATCGGTGAATGTTTTAAAATGTGTTTAATGTTAATGTATTTGGGTAATTCGTTAAGGACTGACACTAAAACCGTAATTATCGGCTTAAAAAAAATATAAAAAAACTAAGACTTCAATTGTCGGTTTTAGCTGGAGAAAACATTTTCAGAAGTGGGTGCTTTTAAATTTTTATCGATTTCGTCATTTTGACACTGAAAGTTGCTTAGCGGTGTTTCTTTGGTTTTAATGGATTTTGCAATTTTGACACCAATAAACGTTCATCCTTTTTTGTTTTTGTTTTTCTTTATCGGACAGATTGTGACTTTTTTTTTTTTAAGTAGCGCACTTGTTTGCCCTCTCGCTAATGTTAAATAGATTTAATACTTATTTAGGCGTATTTTATCCATGGTTCAAATACACTTACACGCGTTACAGTTATTTTTTGTATTGTGTTGCATAACTTAAAGCGAACAAAAACATATCCCCGTCACCTTTAGATCCCCTACATGTTGTGTCGTCGATTTTCGTCTGTTTTAGTTGTACGTTAGATCGCACAAGTAGGTTAAGGACTGAATTCGCATATGAAACGTTTCTAGCGACCTTAAAATAATTTAAAAAAAAATCTGGGCTTCTAAATAATTTCTTCTAAATCCCACCTGGGCTAGTGCCTGGAAACGCGGCTGAAAAAACAACCGACGATAATTCCCCTTTTTCAAAGAGCAAGCTGATATCGTCATGCCTAAAGAAAAATATATTTCACGTTTCTGACGCGCTGGGCAAACGTTGGCTAGTAGACATCGGAGTGACCTTGTCCTTTAGCGAAATCAAAGGCGTTCGCGCGTCAACCGTTACAACGTCCAAAAGAGACGCCACAATGAGCGTAAAAGTGAAAACAAAAACTAGATTTGATTCGATTAAAAAACATCTGTGACTCACAGCATTTGACGGCGTCTTCAGCGTCATCTATTGTGCAAAAGTCCCCACGTTTCCGCGGTGACCTCGGAGGTGGCGCCATCTAGGTTCTGAAACAGGAAATCTGAATTCGGAAATGTGGTCTCTTCTCTATCACCTCTCCCTTCACTCCAAAATGAAGAAATAATGTGCATTCTCAAATTGTCAATTTCAAAAGTGTGAATGCTCTCCGCTTTCTGGTCGCTCGGAGCGTTTGAATTTTGGAAATGGTTCCGAGTTCATCACCCTTTTGGTGATTATAGTAATCTCCCTTGAAATTAAGTTGGGTCAATTAGTAAACGGTAAGGGATATTGATGCCAAAACTAGACCGTGTGTTTCCAGCAAATATTTCCAGAAATACCTGGCGCTGCCACCGTCTTCTTTGTGTATTGGAACACGACATGTATACAAGCACTCGTAGGTAGGAACGAGCAAAACTATGTAATGTTGATGTGCGTTTTGGTATTGAAAATAAGGAACGACTACAGCAAACCCCCCCTCCCCCCGCTTTGCTTTTCAACGAAAAAATAAAAATAGACATAAGCGGTAACATTTGATTCAAAGTTTTGCTGCCGCGGTTACTAACAAAAAAAACACAAAAAAAGCGATAACAAAATTTGCACAACAACAAAAAGAAAGAAAGAAAGAAAGAGAATCGAACAGGCCTTTACTCTCCCATATTCGCGACTCCAGCGACCTATAGGGGGCGCCACCACCAAACAAACATGGCGGCTGAGTCCAGGTCGCGTCGGCTCGGCTGGGCCGCCTGAACAGGTGGCGCGTTTAATTTAACAGATTTTCTTTTGTTTAATGAACAATTTTATAGGTATTTGAACTGAGACTGTTCAGTGTAGCCGGTGCACATAAACTTGCAGAACATAGTTTTGTTTTCCAAGTGTGTTTTTTTTATCTTTTCATGTCAAACTTTCGTTTCGGAGATTTCGTTCGAAACCAAAACTATGGGCTCTGGAGAGACGGTGATATACTAATCAGTTTTGCTCATCTAAGGAAAGCGGCGATGACTGCAGAATTCTCCCACCGGCAGTAATTTTCAGCCAACTCGCACGCCTCGACCATGCGACTTGTCTGTCCGCGAAATCGGGCTTTTGTGCGTATCCGCATTTAAGAAACAGCTTCAGTCGTCTGCTCGGTCAACAACACAGGCTGCAGGAAAATTACGAAAATTAAGCAAGCGCTTCTTGAGCCAAGGATCATGCTAACCCGCCGGCACCCCACTGAGCAGCTGATACTCGTATTTCAATTCAGGTTTTAGTAGCAATCGAGAAGTCATTTTGACGAGCGGGTTATGTATTATATTACGTACTATGGGTCCCACTAAAGCGATATTAGTATATTCTTCAGTTTGAAATATGAGCTTAGTTAACTAGCTATTATGTGAACTGCTGAATAAAAGTATATTTGACAGACAGAGAGATTCTAAGTTAAACTTATCCAAATGGTTCTAGCACCGGTAGCACGGAGACGAATGCGGACGAACTGAAGAGAGTCTTCATTGGAGATTCACGCAGAACCTCTCTGCATTGAACTTGACTTTGAATCCTGAACGGAAAAAATTAGTATTTTTGTGGCCGGTCAACCTGAGCAATGTAGACGTATATTGCTGTTGGCTTAATTCGACGGGGGTGTAATATAAATATTGGAGGCGCGATAGATCATAACGCCGTGACAGCTTCTAACGTTGCGAGACTCGTCTCCCACCTTTTGAAAACAGATAATTTCCCTCATTTTTCATTTGCGGCGAGCAGGTTTTCCTGAATCAAATAATTGCGAAATCAGCCCAAATCCTTCAGAGTGGTCCAGAAGATTTTTCGGCAAAAAGCAGCCAAGATGAATAGCCAACGCACCGACCGCCGTGGGTGGCTCAAACTTGAAGCTAATCGAGCACAACCAAACTCAAGAAAAGCAGCTACCGAACCTTCCCATTCACTTGACTGCAGCATTGGTGTTCCCTCCAGTGAAATGCCTCGTCTGTCGTCCTCCCACTGTTCTACATCCTTATAAAGAAGCCCCTTATCAGTTACCAAGCAGTCGTCACTTTGAATGTGATTTGAGACAGACAGGAAATCAAAACGATTTTCCGCGATTCCTTCCCATCCAAGAAATCGAAAACACGTGGTGGAAGGAAACAATCTACTGAGGCTTCGCCACACTAATGAACACTCAGGCAAACTTAAGAAATTTTCGGACCTTCGTGCAATTACACGGTTCGCCATCGCGCCGACAACACGTGTACGCGAAAGCCACCAGAGACGCGGAGAGGCGCGGAGCGACCTGGACCGGCTGGTTCCCGGTTTTCCCGCTTGGTGGCGTCCGTTTTGCTGGAGTCGCGAATAGGTAACCCTCACCAGGCCGTATCACTCCAGGTTTTTTTTGTACGCGTAAATAGTCTTTTAATCTCATATCAGTAAAGCTAACGAGGCTTCGATAACTCCAGGGTTTGTGTTAGCGCGAAAAGGCCTTTACCCTCATAACAGTAAACCTAACCAGACGTTTGTCACTTCAGGGATCGGGTATGCGCGAACTGGCCTTTACTCTCATATATGTAAATCTAACCAGGCCTGATTACTCCATGGTTTTTGTGTTCGTGAACAAGGTTTACTCTCGAATAAGTAATCCTAACCAGGCTTGTATCACTCCAGGGTTTGTGTATTCGCGAACAGTGTGTTACTCACATATATATATATATATATATATATATATATATATATATATATATATATATATATATATATATATGGTAAACTTAACCAGCCCTGAGAACTCCAGAGTTTTTGTATACGTCCACCGTGTTTTTTTCATATCACTAAACCTCACCAGGCCTCACCACTCCAGGTGTTCTTATGCACGCGTTAAAAGACCTTGACTCTCATATCAGTAATTATAACCAGGCTTCGATCACTCACGATTTTATTATGTCCGAGCAGGCCTTTAACTCTCATGTCAGTAACCCTAGCCAGGCCTGATAACTTCAGCGTTTCCTAAATGTGCGGACAGGCTGTTACTCTGATATCAGTAAACCTAACCAGGGACCCCAGCTACACGGCAGGACGAAGAGATCA